CCATAGGCGTCATTTGGTATAACCGACAGACCAGTTGCAGAGGGGACTGGCGAAAAGTAGCCTCCGGCAGAATGGATAAAGCCGAGGTGATTTGGCAAGGTCATCGGCTATCGATTAGGCTTCGGTTGCCAGGGCCAGTTGGTGTCAAAGCGGCACGTTGAGACGAAATGGCGAGTGGGTTTGCACTTTGTCTATCCGGCTAAGCCGACAAACTAGTACTATGACCAACAAGTCCGTGCAAGAATACACTGAAACTTGTATAAAGTGGTGAGACGAAGGAATAACGGAGTGGACTCAGAAACCAAACTAACGCCTTGGCCTGAGCGCCACGGATCCAAAGTTCGATCCGGCGTCGCGATTTGGAGAATAGCAACTCCGAAGAGCCCAACGCCAGATCAGGCACCCTAGGCAAGAGCACAAACACGATGTTTAGTGGACGACACGGAGTCCTTTTGCGTCATGCCGTGTTCTGCATCATCCGCCGTAGCAGTCATGACAATTTCTCTCTTCTCTTCTGCCACCCTTTTGGCCTAGAACCCTAGCCACACAGTCCCCCCCCTCAAACCCACTTCATATTGTCAACGATGTCCAACCTACACCTCCCTACATCATCGCCTGATCCGATGTCTTCCAAATCTGTGATCTTTCGATGAGACTGCCTGTCCTCATACGTATGATCTAACCGAGGTCATTCAGGATGCTCCACGTAAATGAGGGTCCATTTCGGGTTGAACCACAAGGCTGTCCCGTCTCAGATCCAACTTACAACCAGTTGCGCTGCATGGCAACGAGATTCGGGCTGGCCCAAACGAAAAGGGGATCTTAGGCCTTGCGGGCCTAAGCCGACTAATACGCGTCAGCTTCAAGTTCGCCAGGGTCTGGTCAGCCCTGTAGGATCGAGTGGTAACCATACCTTGCACGTCTCAAGGTCAAACAAGCAAAGCACAATGAGTATAAGCCTGAAGGTGAAGTCAACTGCATAACGTATTACCGACGCAAAGCGATACTGATCACTCGAGTCCAGTATTCCCTAGGCTAAGCACTTAAGCCAGTGACGTTAAATTAAGGAAATAATTTATATTGGCTGGCCTTCATATAGACGATGAAGCGCCGGCAAAACACCATTGATAAGCCAAACAGAAATTGAAGGATGACGCCAATAAGGTAAAACAGGAAAGTGTATAATCGAGAATTTTTTCAACCAAACGACCATTTCGTGCGAGAAATAGTGGAATAAACATAAAGTGTTTGCCATTTTATAAATACATTAACTTATCGGATCAGAGGAGCAGGTGATAAAATGTGATTTTCGTGAACGAGGTAAACAGACATCTAGAATCTGTCAAAAGAAATAAAATAGGGAAATATACGAATGGCAAGTAGAAAGAGGGATTGGAAAAGCGAACATTCACATGATACGGATAAGATGGCGGGGAAAAATGGTATGATGTTGGCCGCAGAGACATATTTATGAGAAGGGGTGGTGTGAATTCTGAAAATGTAGCGTGGCAGTGCATATACAGGACTTTTCGTGCCACAGTAAGAGGATATAAGTTGATATGAAGTATAATAGCCTGAAAAGCGCCAATGGGAATAATATTGATACGAGAAAAAGTATAGGAGTAAAATTGGGAAAAGTTAGTAACTAAATGAGGGAAACAAAAGGTAAGAAAAAGTTTGCAGAAAACAACCCGAGGACACGAGAGAATGTTATCCAGACATATAGCAAACCATGGAGAATTCGATTGCAGAAATCAATCAAAAAATAACCAACACACACGCTGATCAGGGCATTTCATAGAGTCTATTGGAAAACTGTGAATCAATATAGGCATAGAAAAGTCGATGGCACAAGAAGCAATGGCCAATTTTTTTATTAATAGGAATAGGGCACGTGGGCGATTTGCAAGCACACATCGAAAGAGCCCCAACTTCAAAATGCTAGATGAGTATGAAGGCAAAGAAAATTCATAACTCAGATTATGGAGTGACTGTGATAGAATAAGAAATTGAATCCATAAAATTTAAGAGAATGAAAGTAGTTGGTAAGTGGTGAGTATCACTGTAACTTTGATAGATTTGAGATAGATGAACAAAGTCATATTACCGTCACATAACCATGAAATTTGGCTATATATAAATATAGATAATTTTCAAAATCAGAGCAAACTACCTTAGCCTGAGCAAAATTACTGGCTTAGCCACAAAAAAACGGAGTCTAATGAAGGTAAAGAATGGGTGGAATAAAAGCCTGTAATTTAAAAAAACATACTAGAGACGTAGATCATCAAGTTTCAAAATAGGAATTTAGGAAATCTGGTAGGATTAA